AGTCAGCCATCAAAAAGAATGGAATATTGCATTTATAGCTACATGAGTGGACCTAGAGAATATGTTTAGTGAAGTAAGTCAGACAGAGAAAGACAAATGTTATCTGATACCACTTACAGGTGCCGAATCTAAAAAATAATACATATGAATCTATATGCAAAATTGAAACAGGCTCATAGACGTAGAAAACACACTTATGGTTACCAAAGTTGTGGGGGGGGTACAAATTAGGAGTATGGAATTAACAAACTACTATATATAAAATAAACATGGAAGATTTACTGTATAGCACAGGAAAATATATTTACTATCTTATAATAACCTATAATGGAATATAGTCACAAAAAATAACTGAATCAAGATTACTTTGATGACTTTTCTATACACCTAAAATTAGCACAATATTGCAAAACAATTATGATTCAATTTTTTAAATTATAATACTGAGGTATATGTTTTTTCTCATCAAATTAAAGGACACATTGCAAATGACTTCACCAAAGGTTGTATAACCGTTTCTCACAAGCAACATGACTGAGGATAAACTGAATAAAAATTTCTGGAGAGGACCATGGCAATGTTTGAAAAGCAGCCTGAAGATTTACAAACAAGAAAAACAAATATCATATAGTAACTGCTGAACTATATGTTGAACGTATCTGATACATTCCGTATCAGATACTGATGAACATATCTGCAGGGCAGCAATTGAGACACAGACATAAGAACAGACTTGTGGACATGGGGAGGGGAAGAAGGAGAGGGTGGGATGAATTGAAAGAGTAGCATCGAAACACATATATTACCATATGTGAAACTAGACAGCCAGTGGAAATTTGTTGTATGATGCAGGGAGCTCAAATCCGGTGCTCCGTGATAACCTAGAGGGGTGGGATGAGGAGGGAGGGAGGTTCAAGAGGGAGGGGGCCTACATGTACCTATGGCTGATTCATGTTGATACCTGGCAGAAACCCACACAATATCATAAAGCAATGATCTCCTATTAAAAATAAATAAATTTAAGTAAAAAGACATATTTTAAAAAAAGATTTACACACCAAGAGATTCATGAATATGAGACAGTTTTTAATCAAGTCAGACGTGTTTTTTTTTAATAATTTTATTTATTTATGATTTGGCTGCACTGGGTCTTAGTTGTGGCACATGGGATCTAGTTCCCTGACCAGGGATCGAACCCTGGCCCCCCTCATTGGGAGCTTGGAGTCTTAGCCACTGGACCACCAGGGAAGTCCCCAGACGTGTTTTTTTTTTATACGGCTGCTTTGGTGCAATACAGCCTGCTCAGCTCAGAGTTCTGTAGGTCAACAGTAGAGATGGGCTCCACTGTTTTCTCCGCACCTGGTCTCACAAGGTCAAAAGCAAGGTGCCGGCCAGCTTGGACTCCTTATCTGAGGCTTTGGACAGGGATGCCCTTCCAGGCTCACTCCGGTTGTGGGAAGAATCCAGCTCTTTGTAGGACGGAGGTCTCCATCTTCTTGCTCTCAGCTGGAAGCCCCCTCCTCTATTTAAGGGCACCTGCTTACCTGACAACAACCTTTTTCTTCCCACCCGCCTCATCTTCAAACCAGCAGCACTACATCCAGCCAGAGTTCAAATTTCTCTCCGTTTTCCTTCTGCTACATCCTTCTCACTCTAGCCAGAGAAAGTTCTCTGCTTTAAAGAGCCTGTGTGATTAGCTTGGGCTCACATGGATAATCCATGATCATCTCCCTATTTTAAGGCTCATAACCTTAATTGGGGAGGGGGGGCACTCGTGGTAAAGAACCTGCCTGCAAATGCAAGAGACATAAGAGACACAGATTCCATCCCTGGGTCGGGAAGATCCCCTGGAGGAGGGCATGGCAACCCACTCCAGTATTCTTGCCTGGAGAATCACATGGACAAAGGAGATTGGCAGGCTATAGTCCACGGGGTCGCAAAGAGTCAGACACGACTAAAGTGACTTAGCACACACGCAACCTTAATTATGTCTGCAAAGTTCCTTTCACCATGCAAGGTAACACATTCACAGGGTCCAGAAACTAGGACATGGGCAGCAGGGACAGGGGAGGGGGGGATTTCTGCCTGTCACGTGAAAAAGTATGGAAATTATCTTAAGGAAAAAGACAGGATATTAATCAGGGTTTCTCAACCTTGGCACTATTGATATTTCACAAAGAATAATTCTGTCTTGTGCATTAAAACATGTTCAGCTGCATCTCTGGTCTCTGTACCCAATAGAGGCCTGTATCACCCACCCTGCCCCCCTCCCCTTCTGCATTGTGACAACCAAAAATGTCACCAAACATTACTAAGTGTTCCCTGAGGGTCAAAATTACCCTCGGTTGAGAACACAAACACAGACACAATATGTGGTTCCAGTTTTGTAACACACACACACACATACACCACACACACACACACACACACACACACACACAGAGTAAAAAATATTGGAGAGAAAATAACAGCACATTAACAGTGGTTATTGTGGGTTTTGTCATAATACTTGTTTTGTTTCCTTTATGCTTTTCTCTGCTTTTCAGGTTTGAACATCTATTACTCTTAAGCATTATTTTTCAAACCCATTTCTCCCCAAATAGATTTTCAAACAGAAAATCTGTGTCTTTATTCTTAGGCATCTACTTGATGGCATTTCACTTTTCTTATAATTGAATTTTTGTATCTTATTCATAGCTAAAATTGTTTTTCTCTTTTATTTGTCAGACTTTTCTATCAGAATGTATCATCTATGCCTAAAATTCATCAGAGCATCAGTAGAATTAACTGTTGCTTTAGTTGGAAAGAATTATTATCCAGTTAATTGGTCTGGCTGCTCAGAACTATTTTTTGAGATAATTGTTTGAGAACTTTTTCCAGTAGTTTCCTTGATTATAGCGCATTAGGATTTTCTACTACTTCTTGGCTCCATTTTGGCCAAAAAATACTTCTCTATAAAATCATCACTTCAGGATGTTTATATTTATTAGATATGATTATATATAAAATACATTATAATTTGTAATATCCACCTTATCTATAGTTATATCTTCTTTCTATAGGATATAGAAATGTGTTGATAGTTTCTCTCTTATTTATTCATTAGATTTCTCAGAGATTTGTATCCTTCTACTGATTTTTTCAGCAGAACTCTCGCCTCAATACACTTAATATACTTAGCAGGTATACCCATTATGGAAAACTGTATGGAGGTGCCTCAAAAAATTAAAAAACAGAACTGCCATGTGACCTGGTAATTCCACTACTGGGTATACAGCCAAAGGAAATGAAATCAGTATCTTGAAAAGATATCTGCATTCTCATGTTCACTGCAGCATTAGTCACAATTGCCAAGACACGGACACAACCTAAATGTCCACTGATTGGTGAATGGATAAAAAGAAATGTGGTGTATCTATAAAATGGAATATTATTCAGCCATAAAAATCAAGAAACTCCTGCCACTTGTGACAACATGGATGACCCTTGAAGATGTTATGCGTAAGTGAAATAAACCAGACAGAGAAAGACAAAGACTACCTGTGATCTAATTTATATGTGGAACCTAAAATAGTTTAGCTCATGGAACCAGAGACAGCTGTGGTGGTTACCACAGGCTGGGGATGGGAAAAATAGGGAGAGGTTGGTCAAAAGGTACAAACTTTCACTTATAAAATGGATAAGCTCTGGGGAGCTGACAGAACTCTAAGGGTGGTGGTAAACACTTTTCTGAGACCATTGCATTTCAGCAGTGGTCCACTGACCTGCTAGGGCTTAATTATGATGGTAAGCCATAAACGACCAGTGCTTTACATCGTAATAAACCAGATTTCTTTTAAGAACAGCACACAACGATTCAATTTGGAGAAAGAGATAAAACACAGGTAAAACTTCACATTTGGGATTTTAGTTTCTAAATGAACTGTTTCAGGGGTTGATTCCAGGACACCTTCCCCTGGGGCCAATCCTGGCTGCTCCACAGGGTCCACCGGAGGGTGGGAGGAGTCACAGAAGAGGGCGTGACGAGCATCCCAAAGCCATCCCAAGATGAGGAATGAGCCTCTAGATACCCTGTCCTGCGGATCTTTCCATCACACTTGCCAGAATCCCCCTGGGTAGTTGAGAAATGGCCCACAGGACCCTTACTGCCGGTAACCAAGAGAGTCAAAGAATAGGGACTGTCTTCACTTCTCTCTCGCCTGGTCCTTCGCATTCACTCCCAGCGGCCGTCAGGAAGGTTCTGCCAGGACTAAGGATGAAGGGGAAAGGCTGATGGAGAATGAAGGAGGTGTAGATGGGTGCAAGAGGCAGGACGAAGGCAAACGTTAGGCACCTGGCCCTGAAGCCTCCTCGCAGGGCCCAGGACACGGAAGTGGGGGGAGGGAGAGGTGGGACCAGGTACACCCGGGGCTCCAGCATTGCCGAAGAAGGGGATGGGAAGTGGGGTGAAGGGGATGGGAAGTGGGTAAAGGGGATGGAGAACTTGTGTAGAAGATGCCTTTGCCCGGCAAACACGGTTTCAACAAAGACTGTGAATTCTGAGGATGCTGGTCTTGGAGAAGCAGCAGAAAGGGATAAGGCGGCAGCTGAGGGGCCTGATTGTACGAATGGATGTACGAATGGGGTCTGTGCCTGATTGTACGAATGGATGGATGCATGGATGGATGCATGGACGGACGGAGTGAGTGAGTGAGTGAGCGGTTGCGGGAACCTCAGACGTTCCCAGGTTGGAGCAGCGCGCCCAGCAGGAGTCACTGCGAGACCCGACCGCGGGAAGGGGGCGCAGGCGCGGCTGGCGCCAAGGCCCTCCCTCGGGGGGGTGGGGGGTGGCGGCCGAGGGGCGGAGAGGGCCGGGGGTGGGGTTAGAGAAAAGGACCCGAAAGAGATCCAAACTTCCGGTGCCTGCGGAGAGCCGAGCGGCGGTGTTACCGAGAGAGGCTGCACCGAGTGGCTTTTGCTCGGGCGGAGGCTGCAGGGAGGACGCTCGGGCCGGCGCAGCCATGGTGAAGATCAGCTTCCAGCCGGCGGTGGCCGGCATCAAGGGCGACAAGGCCGACAAGGCTTCGGCCTCCGTCTCGGCCCCAGCGCCCGCCCCGGCCGCTGAGATCCTGCTGACGCCGGCTCGGGTGAGAAGGGCCGGGGATCTCGGGCGGCGGGGGGTGCAGGGGACCGAAGCTCGCCCGGCCGCTTCCAGCGACTGCCCGAGGCTCATTGGGACCCCGGCGTCTCGAGCGGAGGAGCGGGGGCTGGGAGTCCGGGGTGGGTCTTCCCATCCCGAAGTGGGGAGGGGGCTTGGGTCCCGGCATTCAGCGGCAGCCGAAAGCGTTAAGTCTGAAGAACGGGAGGGGGTCCGTTCGCTGTCCCGTGGGGACAGGTGAGGAAGAGCTCCAGGTCTCTTCCAAAAGTGGAGGGGGGCCCTGGGCGCCTGGTCCCTAAAGAGGGGAGGGGGCTGGTCCGAAGAAGTTCGAGGAATGTTGGTGGGGGGTATAGGCGTCTGGTTCCAATCAGGGAGGAGGGGCCGCGGGTCGAGTCCCCAGGTGGGGGATGGGAGGAGAGTTGGACATTGTTTTCCCCAAAGTAGGGTGGTGGGTTGTGATTGGTGGGGAATAAAGGAGATAGGGGGGATCTGGTGCCAATGAAGGGGGAGGGACTGTGGATTTCGTCCCAAACGGGAGACTGCTGGGGACGGGGAGGCGGGGGGGTGGGGGGGGCGAGGGATGTGCTGTAAGTCCGTACCTGAATTTGTGGACCAGAAAGTGATGAGACATGAAATGAAAATAAACTAGAACTCGCCTGGCCGCACTTCAGGGATTCGAGATTCGGGCTTCTGAGGCTGAGTGCCCTGATCCCACTCCACCCCGGGCCGCCTGGGGCTCCCTGCCCTCCACTTCCTTCCTCTCCCGGCTCCCTGGAGCTCTGGGCTACCCGGTCCAGCCCGCGGTGCCCCGGTGCCCTCCATCCCGGAGGCTGCGCTTTGTGGGGGCGGACCTCGGTGCACCCCGCCCCCGCCAGCTCCCCTCCTCCCCTTTCCCTCGGGCCTGGGGTAGAGGAGGCATTTCCGCCCGTGGAAAACTGTCTGAGCTGCGAGGAGTCCGACAGGGGGAGGGCCCGGAGGGGACCGGACGCGTGGCGGACGAGGAGGGGAGGGAGAGCTTGGTTCAGTCTGGCTCTGGAGTGGCCCCGGCAAAGGTGTCTACGCCGCCAAGGTGTCTACGCCGCCCGTCCCGTTGCTGGCTACTAGGATGTCTTCCTCAGCGCCAAGGCCCCTCCTCAAATTGATGGCTCTAACTAAACCTTGCTGGGGTATGGCAAGCTGGGTGCTGCAGAATGACCTGTGCCCAGGGAGAAGGGGACACAGGAGAGGGTGGTCAGAGGTGAGTGTCACACACCAGAGCGAAGATTCCCTGAGTGCCGAATTCCAGAAAGAGCCTTGGCGAGCTCCCCTGCCCTGGCGTGGTCACTGCAGCATCAGTAACCACCCAGGCTGGGTTGGGGGGTTTTGCTCTGCAGTCTGGATCAGAGCAGCTCCATCTTCTTCTGATGCTTGGATGGGAAGGGGACATTTCCTATTTGAAGGCCTGGCCTGCAGCTTTTAAAGTTTGCAAGAGGCCCTTTAAACCTCCTTCCTCCCCCTGTGCCCCCAGAGAGCACGCAGGACGCTCACACCTTTCTTCTCCCAGCTGCTTCTCCCAGAGCCAGGTACCCAGCTGAGGCCTGGAAAACTGAACCCTGACACCCTACAGGATTCAGGCAGGAGGGAGGACCAGCCAGACAGTGGGAGGATACAATTCAAACTCCATCAGAAGCTCTGCCGGATTTCGCAGGAGCCGCACATTCTCCTGCGGCAGCCTGCTTGTGGTGTCGGGCGGGATGGCGGATGCCAGCGTCGCCTTGGCAGTTTCTGACATCCAGCTTCTGGCTCCCAAGTCCAGTGTCCTCTCTTCCCCCTCAACCAGCATGAAATGGAAATATCAACATCTTCTTCCCTGGGGGCTGTTTGCAGTGGCCTTGAGCCTGCTGAGTGTGCTTCCCCCACCTCCAGCAAACCTTGTTAGTTGGGCAGGGTCCCCTCACTCTTAACTGGCAAGGGGGAGCCATGGGGCCCCAGGAGGAGGGTTAATATCCCAGCACCTTTACATCAGATCTGCTTATTAATAAACTTTCACAGCTCCCCAGTCCTGAAGGGTCAGGGGAGGCTTTTGGGTGTTGTACATTGGCTCTGCCAGTCCCCTGATGGAACTGCAGCCTTGGGAAGAGAGTTCATTTCTGTGAACCTCTTGTGGCCTTGACCTACCAGTGGGCCCATTGCCCCCACATTGCCTGACATAGAGCAAGCCCCCCTCCCCGCGCATGGCCACCCGCCTCACCAGTAGGTTCAGGAGGTGCCCAGCATTTACAGTAGCCCAGGACAGTATGAGCAGGGGCTGCTTCACCAAGACAGGGCGTTTGGGTTGGTCCCGTGCTGATGGGTTGTCAGAATGTGGACGAATTAGTTGCTCAGTCTGTTAGAGCGAGTGTTCTTCGTTCAGTTTGACTCCTTGCAGCCCCATGGGCTCCAGCCCGCCAGGCTCTTCTGTCCTTGGGATTTCCCAAGCAAGAACACTGGAGAGTGGGTTGCCATTCCCTTCTCCAGGGGATCTTCCTCACCCAGGGATTGAACCCAGGTGTCCCGCATTGCAGGCAGATCCTTTACCATCTGAACCAGATGGACTGTCAGAGGAAAGCTTATTAGAAAGGTCTCTTCTGGTTGGGGGTGACCCTGGAACCATCCCTGGTCACTGAACTGAATCAAAAATAAGACTTAAAGCCTTGGAAGGACCAACTGATGAACAGAGGTGTTTCTGAGTGCCTCTCCCCCACGAAGGCACCCTCTAAACTGTCACAGTAAAGTGTCAACCTGAGTGCAGGCCCCTGGGGCCAGGCTCGGGGTGGCATCCTCACTGTGGGCCTCCCTCTGCTTCTCTGTAGAAAAGTGAAACAAGGAGGATTTTGTCCCCAGACCTTCTGCTGGAAGGAAGTGCCTCGGTGGGGCCGGGAGGGGATGGGGGTGGGGGCCCATCTGGGCCTCCAGCTGCCCACCCTCCCCACGTGGTGCTTGCCTCTGAGATAATGAGTTGCCTGCACTGATGGGCAGCTGGCCGGAAGCCAGCTCAGAAAGTGGGCTGGATGGGAAGCGCCCCTCTTAGCACTCTCTGGCCAGCCCTACGCCTCTCAGCCCAGTTCCCCTCTCCCCACCATCTGCCTGTGTCTTTGCTCACCCATGTGTTACACACACACACATGTGCGCAGAGCCAGGTGTGGGCATGCACAGACTCGAACGATCGGGCTGGGGGCCCTCCAAGAGGAGAGAAGCGAGGTCAATACAGTCGATCGGGCTGGGGGCCCTCCAAGAGGAGAGAAGCGAGGTCAATACAGTCATCTTCTCGGTGCTGTAATTTTCTCCTTGGCTTTGGCCTTTGATTAATGTCACCCCCTCCCCCAGCGCACATACCTGGGGATCAGATTTCACTTTCCACCTCCCGGCCTCAAGTCCTTGGCAGGAGGGAGCTGGGTCTCCCGAAGTGGTTGGGGTAGGGGGGGAGAGGGTCCCTGAACCAGCCCAGAGGATGGAGCAGGGCTCCGCATCCTCAGGTCCCAGGGCCCCATCCCCACCCACCGGCCCCGTGGGCTGGGCTAAGAGGACCTCTGTGGCTGGGTGCTCATGCCCCCACTGCCTGCCGGTCCTGGGCCTTCCCTGAGGGGCTCTGGCGTCTGGGCTTGGGCCACGGTGACTTTTTTCTGCTTTCTCTCTCCTTTCCCTCTCCTCTTCGTGCTGCCCTCAGCCCGTCTGTCCTTGTGTGTTTCCAGGCTGTCAGCAGATTGCCACGGAGGACGAGTTTCTCTTACCAGGAAAAAAAAAAAAAGTTTCTGGTGAGACCAGGGGAGTGCAGCCAGTGCCTGGTGAACCGTGTCCCCCAGGAGCTCTGCATCTGTCTTCCCCAGCCTTTGTTCTCTGGGGTCTCCCCTCGCCTCTCAGGAGCAGAACAGGAGAGCATATGAGCAGAGCAGAGCAGAAGGCTGTGGGGAGTGTTCTGCGGCCCACGCCCTTCCTGGGGCAGCAGTGGGTCCCTGGGCCACCCTGGGTTTCACTGATGGAGGGTTCACGACTCTTCCTCAGCATTCACCCCGCTGATGTCTGCACTTATGGGCACAGCTCTGCGAGGAGGCCCAGCCCCCGTACCCCTGCAAGGCTTCTGTTTCTGTCTCTCTCACCCACACACACAGTGTCTCTCTCACTGGTGGCCTCATCTCTGTGGTCTGCAGCCTGGGAAAGAAAGATGCTCAGGAAGAAGGAATGGTGCTGGGGAGATGAGGGTGGGGACCCCGACCATGGCCGTTGGCCTGGGCCCACAGTGGGTGCATTTCTGGCTCCCCTGCCACCCTCCTCTGAGCAGCCGGCAACTGGAGTTTCATCCTCTTGCAGCTATTCTGGGCATTGTTAATGAGGGAAAGACGCTGGGAGCTCTCTCCATGAGCCCTGGGGCAGGGGGTTGGGGTGGGCGGGGGGGGGGGGGGGGGGGGCGGGTTCTGAGTTAATGCTTCAGTTGGCTGAGTTCCCCTGACTCTTGAGGCCCTGGCTTTGCCAAATCATTTAGTGAACACCAGCATGGGGTCCGTGAGACAGGCCGGCCGAGGCCTGGGCCCCTCCCGGGTCCCAGACACGTGGCCCACATGCTCCACACAAGCACACATCGAGGCCTGTTGCCTGGGACACCCAGCTGCCGTGGAAACTGTCTTTTCCTGCTTTCTGGAAGCCCCCCAAATACCTGGCTGGGGGGGTAACTGCTCCATATGAGAGCAGGCATTCTCCGGGGGCTCCAGCATGACAGGTGAAGCAGCTGAGGGGGGGTGACTTCAAGAAGGAGCCCCCTTGGCCGACCTCCTGGGTGCGCTGAGCAGTTAGGATCCTAAGGGTGAGGCCCTGGGTTCCGGCCCAGGCACCCAGAGGCCTCAGGGCGGCCCGCCTCTATGGGGCTTCACCTCCTGGTGCCTCTGTCTGGAAGCTGGGACACCAGCGGCTTCTGGGTCTGCTCTCCCGTCGCTGCTGCTCAGCCATGATGCTCCTGGGGGGTTGGTCCCCGAACGCCAGGGCAGAGGGGTGTCGGGTAGGGAGGGGAGCAGGGTTAAGCCGTGGGTGTGCACTCAGGACTGTTAGTAGGGACAGGATGTGTATGTATGCTCAGCCATGTCCGACTCTTTGTGACCTCATGGACTGTAGCCTGCCAGGCTCCTCTGTCCATGGGATCCTCCAGGCAACAATACTGGAGTGGGTTGCTATTGCCTCCTCCAGGGGATCTTCCCGACCCAGGGATCAAACCCGCATCTCTTGTGTCTCCTGCATTAGCAGGCGGGTTCTTTACCACTGTGCCACGTGGGAAGCAGGATCAGAAACCACTGTCCACTTCACCTCTAGGAAAAGGCGGGGGGGGGGGGGGCGTCCCAAGCCTTCACAGGGACCCCCACAGAGACATATGAGGACATGGGGGTAGGGCATCAAGGGTCCCGGCTGGAGACTGTCCTTCTGGGCCACACTAGCCTGGCCTCACTTTCCTCTGGGGCCCCTCCTCCCTTGCCATCTTTAATGACCTCTCTCCCCACCTCAGTGCCCTGCCCAGCCCCTCCTCCAGGCACCTGCCCCAGTCAGGAGCTGAAAGGTGGTTATAAAACTGGTAGGCCTCACCTTGTTCCTGAACTTCAACTGTGGACAGGCCTCTGGGCTCTTGCTTTATAACCACTGACTTTTTTTTGTTTTGGGGTTGTTTTCTGTTTTTTGTTTTTTTTTTAAGAGCAATTCTCACAGGCTCGTGTTTGCTTCTCTGGAGCAAAGCATGGCCACAGTGCAGCCTCGACAGTCGGCTGCAGTGGTGGCCCTGAAAAGGAAAGGTTTAGCTGATAAAGACCTGCTATTTTTATCTAACACTTGATCCTTTACGAAGGGCTTTCAGGGCCTGTGTCTTCTTTAATCCCGACAAAACCCTGTCAGAAAGAGTCTGTTCACATTTCACAGGAGGACAGTCGGAGGGTCAGAGGCTTCCTACATGTGCACACAGCCCCTGCTGGGGGCACCTCTGGCTTCTGCAGTCCCACCCGTCTCGCTGAATACAAATGTTGTATCCCCAGGGCAGGATTTGCAGGGGCTGTGGCGCCTGGCCTATCTTTTGGGTCACCCACCTTTCCTGGGGACCCACTTAGGATGGCTGGATCCCCTTGGGTGGCTTGTTCCTGTGAGTCACTGGCCAAGCTTGGCCGTCAGTCACCCTGTCCGTGGCTGATCCTGGGAGCCCACTGGAGAGTCAAAGCCCTTGCAGCCCCCCACCCACTGCTGGCAGCTGTTCTATGGGCAGTGGCCACATGCACTAGTGACCTTGGTCAGTGCTAGCAGGGAGCCCCAGGGTGCTGGGGAGATGCCAGCCAAACGGGTGGTCTCACCAGGTGCTTCTTCGGATCACAGGGACCCCGCAGCAGGGCCAGGGTGGGGAGAGGCCCCAGGCTGCAGATAGCACAGCCTGTGAGGGGGGACGGGATGGACAGAGGTACCTCTCCATCTTCTGTCTCCATCCCAGGGTGCTGGAGGCATGGGGGTGGAGTGGGGGTCACTGGCCTGGTGATACGCATGCCTAGAGATGGGGGCGTGTCTTTCAGGCATTTGCTGTGCCTGCAATGAGGGAGACCCGGGTTCAATCCCTGGGTCAGAAAGATCCCCTGGAGAAAGAAATGGCAACCCACTCCAGTACTCTTGCCTGGAAAATTCCATGGACTGAGGAGCCTGGCAGGCTACAGTCCCTGGGGTCGCAAAGAGTGGGACACGACTGAGTGACTTCACTTTCACTTTCCTGCAAGAAGGGTGTGGGGAGAGGGGAGAGCCCCAGTCAGGAGGCTTCACCCCCGCCCCCACCCCCCACCACAGGGGATGCCCTTCTGCTCCCTGAGGCCTAGGTCCCACCCTCCCATGTGCCCCAAGCGCAGCAGGCCTGCACCCCAGCCCTTCCAGGCTAGGCCCCCTGTGTGCACTGACAGTAAAGGCCTGTCCTGGGCAACTTGGACCTGAACTGTGTCTACACTCCCGGCCACTTGGCTACAGGGTGAAGAGTGGAGGCACCCAGAGGGGGAAGCAGACCATTAGTGAGAGGGTCCGGGCTCTGGGCTTCCCCTCTGCACCCCCCAGCTCTGCCTCAGCTCCCCGAGGCCGGGGATGGGGCGAGGTGCTGGCCTCTACCCTCACCCAGCTGCATCCAGACACCATAGAGGCAGGGTTGAAAGGTGGACCCTGGAGGCAGAGCCAGGCCTGGGCCTTCGTGAGGTCTCCAGGGTGAATGAGGCCTGGGGTGGGGTAGGGGTGGGAGGCATAAAGACGAGTGATGGCCCGGGCCACACCGCTGGGTAAGAGCCCCGCGTCACTAGACTCTGAGTCCAGTGCTCTGGGGAGAGCAGGGTTTCCAAGTTACACGCCCGCCTCTGACCGCTGGCCCAGGCGGGTGTGGACCGGAGCTGGGTCGGGATGGTTTACTTCTTGGCAGCCCTGTAACTACTTGTCCCGAACCGGGGCCTGGCTCCCCAGAGAGGGGTTTCCAGGAACCTCTTGCCCTGGCTGCTCCAGCCACGTTTCCGTCCCGGCAGAGGGGCCCTGGCTTCCAGAAGCCTCTAGACTCCACCGTGCAGGCTCTGCTCCTGACCGCCTGCTCCACGCCAGTGCCTGGTGATTCCATCGCTGCCCAGGAGACTGCTCTCTGCCCAAGCTGGCCAGAGGGGACAAGCACATGTGCCCAGACCTTGTGGGCCTCCCGGAGCCCTGTCCCCAACTGTGAGCTACTGGGAACCTCCTTGGTCCAGGCCAGTGGCTCCCAACCTGCCTGATACACCCTGGTTCCTACAGGTTCTGAGGCCTGGCGTGGTCATCAAGGTCATGTCTGTGCTTCCCCCCCAACCACCATCCCCAGTTTGAAAGAATCTACTATGGTCACAGCTGGTATAGTGAAGGGGACTAATGGCATAGGGGCTTCAAAATACTCTTGCTGAGTCCCTGTGAGTCATTTTATGTGGCTTCCCAGTGGGGCTCGGTTTCTCTTTAGAGGGAAGAGCTGGGGGCCTGGGGATGCTTCCTTTCCTTCCAGATGATGCTCTGTGTTTCCCGAGCATCGCCCTCCCCTCCCCCAGGCTCCTTGCCAGCCAGCAGGGTGAGGCCTCACTTTGGGAAAGGGGGAGCGGGAGGGATCCCCAGCCGACGCGGGACCACCACGAGGCTGACCCTGCCCTGCCGTCCGCAGGAGGAGCGGCCCCCCTACCACCGCTACAAGAAGGGGGGCTCCGTGGGAGGCGTGTGCTACCTGTCGATGGGCATGATCGTGCTGCTCATGGGCCTGGTGTTCGCCTCTGTCTACATCTACAGATACTTCTTCCTGGCTCAGGTGAGGTGGGCAGAGGGAGGTGGGGAGAAACAGTGGCCTTTAGAGGAGGAAGTGAACACCCCACCCCCCAGGTGGGGAGAGTGCCCCACAAGCCTAGAAGATTCGCAGCCTCCTCCTCCTCCCTGGTCTTGGTCCAGGGGACAGGACTGAGGCCCCATCCTCTGACTGCCGTGGGGTCTGGAGGAGTGGCCTTATCTGTCTCTTTGGACACATCTGAAGCTGACAGCTCTCCTGGGAGTACAGTCTGTGATGGGGGAGCCGGGATTAGCATCTGGGCTGTGAGGTTGGCAGCCCCTTCCCACGGTGACCCCAGAGCATCAGCACCAGAAATTCGGGGTGCAGCAGAAACTAGAACTCTGCAAGCCCCTCAGAGCCCGGCCCCCTGTGCCCTGCAGGTTGTGCTTCAAGGAAGTCCCATTCCGTGCCTGGTCATCTGGGCTACCACCCATGAAAGGTGGAGGGTGGCTTACAGAGTCACCTCCGCCCCCCGTAAGGGTGACCCCCGCCCACGATCACACCCAGTCATCTGCTCACCCAGGCCATCTGGGCACAAAGCTGGGCCAGAGACCTGGCCGTGGTCACAGCGGCCTTGTCATCTGCCCAGGCCTGGGAAGGGAGGCAGGGCCCCCAAGTTCTCGGAAGGGAAGGTAGTTCAATGAAAGTTTGCTTAATGACCATAAACAACAACCTGGGGAATCTCAGTGACCAAAAGGCTGGGAATTGCCAGTTGTTTATGACTCAAGTGGCCCCTTCCCACCCTCAAGCCCTGGGCTTTGACTTCCTTGTCACCCAGTTTCTCTAGGGTGGAATTCACTGAAGAGCTTGCAGTCCCAGTGACTTTCCCCTTGAAACCTCAGCTCCCGCACACCCACCCACTTCCCCTTTTGTTCAGCATTCTCCCCTCCCCCATGACCTGCTTTCCCCCTGGTTCCTGGTTTTCGCTTTCTGGGGCCTTTTCCTGCTGCAGCTGTGCTGCTGTCCTGGACTTCCCCTCTGATCACAGCCCCAACTCATGCCTGGTTCTCAGGGCATGGGGAACCTCAGAGCAGCCTCACGCCTGCGCCCTGGGACCCCTGGGACCCCTGGGATGGTATGATTCATGTGTGATGATTCACCCTCCCGGGAGAGCGCAGCTGAAACAGAAAGGGGCGTCTGCCTATCATGACCTGGAGGAGCCAGAGGGGGGCCCCCCCCCCGCGGCCACCAGTCAGTCACATGGCCTTGGTCACACCCGGCCACCTCCCTTCCCTTGTTGATGGAATGATAAGCGGGCCCTTCAAATGGGGGACACCGCATTTGTCAAGGTTTCTCAGGAGGCCCAGGTCCGGGGAGGTGGTGGGGCTTGTGAGAGGTTGAACACAGCTTGGGGAGGGGCGGAGGGGGTTGCCACCAGCATCTGATAACAAGGCTGACTCTCGGTCCCTCCCCCTTCCTCCTGGCCCTCCAAGGTCTCCAGGGCCCCCTGCAGAGGCAGCAGGAAGGGTGGGCGGGCACCCCCTGGTGGCAGTGGAGGGTGGCACCCCACCCCCACCCCAGGCTCTTTCTCGGGTATCTGTCCTCCCACTGGTCTATCCCCTTTCACAGCCATAGACTCATGGACTTGGAGGGGCGGAGGGGCCTAAGGGGTCACTTTGTTTTACAGAGGAGGAAACTGAGCCTCAGCGAAATCGTCCTCCTAGGAACTGGCACACCCGCTCACCCTCCCTGACTCCCATGTTTCTCAGTTTCTACATCTGTGAAATGGGCATCCCAGCCCCACCCCCCCCCCCCGCTTCCCCGGGCCTCCAGAGCCAAGAGTGGTTGGGCAGGCAGCAGGGGCCTCAGAGAGGGCACTGTGTGACCAGGTTGTCTCTCTCTCGCCCCGCTCCCCGCCTTGCTCAGCTGGCCCGAGACAACTTCTTCCACTGCGGCGTCCTCTACGAGGACTCCCTGTCCTCCCAGGTCCACACTCGCATGGAGCTGGAGGAGGACGTGAAGATCTACCTCGAGGAGAACTACGAGCGCATCAACGTGCCCGTTCCCCAGTTTGGGGGCGGTGACCCTGCAGACATCATCCACGACTTTCAGCGGGTGAGGCCGGCCGGGGCCCAGGGCGGGGGTAGCGAGCAGGCACCAGGAGGAGCAACAGACGTGAAAGGAGAATGCCCACACCCTTTATGCAAACTTGGAGCACATACCGTGCAGTACAAACTGTGGCGCAGACGTCTATGGTTTAGGTCCATCAGGGGTTTAGAGACCCCACTTTTTTTTTTCTCACTTATTTTTATTAGTTGGAGGCTAATTACTTTACAGTATTGTAGTGGGTTTTGTCATACATTGACATGAATCAGCCATGGAATTACATGTATTCCCCATCCCGATCCCCCCTCCCACCTCCCTCTCCACCCGATCCCTCTGGGTCTTCCCAGTGCACCAGCCCTGAGCACTTGTCTCATGCATCCAACTAGGGCTGGTGATCTGTTTCACCATAGATAATATACATGTTTCGATGCTGTTCTCTCGAAACATCCCACCCTCGCCTTCTCCCACAGAGTCCAAAGAGAGACCCCACTTTCATCATGTAGTTCTTGCGTTTCTCACTGACTGTGAACTCGTCATGGTTGATTTTCTCCTGGGCCACCTGACAGCTGCAGATGCTGGCTCTCATGGGCGAGGCCAGTATTCCTTTTAATGAGCTCTTTCCTCGATGACTGCTTATCAAGATGCAGCACTCGGAGGTGGGGAGGAGCGTCTCACTGAGGGTCCTGGCCATCCACAGGGGTGGCCAGACCGCCCAGGTTTGATGAGATACACAGTCAGGGCATTACCCTGATTCTCAGACCTCAGCTGTGTAACCTCCCGAGAAGAATCCTTGTCACAACTGAAGCATTTGATAGTATTTTCATCTAGTAAGTGGAATCCCTACAGACACTGCCTAGGAAAGGAGAGCGGGAGAAGGGAGTCCCGCCCTGATGTTGAGGAATCCGAGGTACATCATTGGGAGCACTGTGGGTTCACACCTCGCACAGTCCGCCGGGGCCAAGCCCTCACCTGCAGACACTGATGTGGCCCCTTCTTTCTGCTCAGGGTCTCACCGCTTACCATGACATCTCCCTGGACAAGTGCTACGTCATCGAGCTCAACACCACCATCGTCCTGCCCCCTCGCAACTTCTGGGAGCTCCTCATGAATGTGAAGGTGAGCGGGACCCCGGCAGCGTCTTGTCCCTCCCTTGTCCCCCCACCATCATGAGACAAGGGAGATTTCTGGGGCCAGCAGGGATGCGGGGGCCTGGGCATTGCTGTCAGCTGGCCCCAGCACCCTTAGTCGGTCCCTCTGCCTCCAGCTCCCTTCTCCCTCACACAGAGTCAGTGCCTCTCCTTTCTGCCCCCCAGCCCCCCCACTCTGCCTCCCTCACTTAAGAACCCCAAGACCAGCTTCCTTAGTGTTCACGGCTGTGTCCCATGTTGCACTATGGTCAGCAGTGCAGGGAGGAGATGGGGAGGAGCACTCCCCCTAGGGTGATGGGGCAGACTCATGAGTGTGCGAGCACGCACACACATGCACACATACACATGCCCACAAACACATGTCCACACTCGCACGCCCACACACACATGCCCCCCCACACACACATGTCCACAAACACACACGCTCACACACACGGTCACACACACCCGACTCACTGGCAGTGCGGGTGAGCACTGGAAGTGCCCAGGGACATCAGAAGGGTGAGCCGTGCGGTCTCTGGATGAAGGGGTGGGCATGAATGGGTATTTCAGGTGCTGAGGGGACTCGATGAGTGAGCAGAAGGATGTTGGTGGGGGGAGGTCTGTGGGCAGTTGGGGACCCCGAGAGTTGGGCCTGGGTACTGACCTGGTAGCGGACTCATTGGAAAAGACCCTGATGCTGGGAGGGATTGGGGGCAGGAGGAGAAGGGGACAACAGGGGATGAGATGGCTGGATGGCATCACCGACTCGATGGGCAGGAGTTTGAGTAAACTCCGGGAGTTGGTGATGGACAGGGAGGCCTGGCGTGCTGCGATTCATGGGGTTGCAAAGAGTCAGACACGACTGAGCGACTGAACTGAACTGACCTGACCTGACCTGGTGCTGGGCCACTCTCCCTTTGCAGAGGGGGACCTACCTCCCACAGACGTACATCATCCAGGAGGAGATGGTGGTCACGGAGCACGTCAGCGACAAGGAGGCTCTGGGCTCCTTTATCTCCCACCTGTGTAGCGGGAAGGACACCTACCGCCTGCGGCGCCGGGCCACCCGGAGGCGTGAGTGGCCATTTCCACCCACCTTGGCCCCTGCCCTGAGCTCCAAACCATGGCCCAGCTGAGCCTGGCCCCGGAGCTGGGATTGCAGCAGCAGTAATGACAGCTAATGTTAACTGAGCACTTACTACATGCCAGGCACTGTTTACACGCCCTGTGTCTTCCTAAGGTAGTGTGAGTGGTCATCACCATCATCATCCTTGTCATCTTTTATTCTTGCTGCCCCTTTTAGAGGTGAGGAAAGGGGGACACAGAGAGGTCAACAAACAGCCCTGAGGTCACACAGCAGGAAGGTGGCAGAGCTGGGAGGTCTACTCCGGCTATTGCGCTCATGCCATTTTACTATGCTGCCTCTGGGTGAAATTGGGTGTCATTTCCTGGGCCTCCCCACCCCTGGTCGTGAGACCCTGCTCAGGCGCCGAGGCTGGTGGCCTTCGTGGCCCAGCCAGTTCTAGGCCAGGACACAGGTCTCACTAGGCTTTCTCTGTTCTCTCCCAGGGATCAACAAACGAGAGGCCAAGAACTGCAACGCCATCCGCCACTTTGAGAACACCTTCGTGGTGGAGACGCTCATCTGCGGGGTGGTGTGAAGCCCCGCCCCCTCCCTACAGGCCCCGCCCCCGCCCCACAGGCCCCGCCCCACTCTCCAGACCCGCCCCCACCCTCTTTCGTTTTCTCTTCTGGCCACTCTCTGGCCCTCCTTCCCCTTGCTTAGCTTGTACTTTGGACGCCTTCCCTGTAGATGTGATGTGTCTCCCTGTTTCTCTCCAGCCCTGCCCACCTCCTTGTACCAGAGCTGTGACCTCTCAAGACCTCCCACTCTGCTGACCTCTCAGGTGTGGGGGAGGGAGGGGATGCCCCAAGGTGGTTTCTGTGACCAGCATCTTGAGGTCAGGTCCCTGGGGCCCTGGTCCACAGCAGCACTGCTGGCCCAAGGGGAAGGACAGGACGGAAGGAACGGGGCATGTGGGGGTTCTGGCGAAGGGATGGGGTCGGGGGGGAAGGGTGTGGAGTGGGGTTCAGGAACGTCTGCACAACTGGGAAGGGCCTAAAAGGCCTTTTGCTTGCTCCGCACGCATCCCATGCTTTACAGCTCTCAGACCTGAACTGAGGATGGAGGGAACGTGCCCGAGGATGGACCCACCCCCCCAGAGCACAAGGGAAGGTGGCTGTCCTGGGGCTATCCCCAGGACTCCAGTCAGTGCCTTCAGCCCACCTGTGGGAGCCTGGAGTTTGGGGTGGGGGGTTCAGATGAGTCCGTCAAGCACAATCTATCTCCGGGTGGAACCAAAGAAGGAAGGAGCCAGGGCTGGGGGTGCTGGCCCCCCAGGAGCACAAGAGGGGCCCCCACCGGCCACAGCCACAGAGCAACAGGGTGGGGGTGTCTTCTCCTGTCCAGGGACAACCCTGACAGCTGAGCACTGAGCAGGGATGTAGTGTGGGTCCTTCGGAGAGAGAAGGGGGCTCCTTGCTGTCTCCGGGGTAGAGCTCTTCTAGGAAACCGCGGGGGGGAGGGGAGGGAGAACCAGCTGGTACTTGTGAACCCTGCCTCCTCTCTGGAATTCTGGCCCCCTCTGCTTGGGGGAATGCAGCGTTTACTTTCCTTTTCCTTCTCACTTTTGCATGTTTTTACTGATCGTTCGATATGCTAACCGTTCTCAGCCCGAGCCCTGAAGAGGAGGGCTCCGACACCTCCAGTCAGACTTTGGTGCTCTCTGGAGATGAAACTCTTGAAGTGCTTTGTATATTTTCTCAATTAGATCTCTTTTCAGAAGTGTCCGTAGAACAATAAACATCTTTGACTTCTGATTTTGGCTTGGGAGAGGTGGGTGGTGGTGGTGGGGGGTGAGGTGTGCACCTCCACCCTGTAGACTGGGCTGGTGTCCCTGGGGATGGGGGGGTGGGGGGTGCAGGTGGACATGCAGGAGGCAGGCAGGAGAAGCTCTTGGGCCTTGACATCTGGCCCTGCTCCGTGTTCAGCCAAGGAACGTAGGTGTCCTCTTCTTCCCTCCCTCAAGTCCTCATGTCACCCCAAACCAGGTGGATTCACCTCTTACAGGCAAGGGAGGAGGAAAAAGCCCGGAGATTATGCAGCTTGCCCAAGGTCAGGCTGCTTTTTTAGTGCCTATAAACCACCCGTTCAGTTCCACACGGAAGATGACATCATTATTGCTTGTCCTTAAGCACAAGAACAGTATTATGTTCTCCACAATTTCTGGGCAATTAGTAACCATCTTGGGCCTGAACTGAGGTTTGGCGTGGGTCAGAGGCTCACATTCTGCAGAAAAGGAGGGGATGGGATCTGTGGCGAGTAGAGCCCAAGGGTGTGACCCGGGTCCTGCCTTGCGGACAGAATGGGTGCCCATAACCTTGGCTCACAGGCTCTGTCATCCTTCGAAGGACATAAAAGATTCAAATTAACACAGACACATGTTATTCTCAATTCCAAAGTCAATCTTGCAAAGATGTCATGTCCTATTACAGTCCCCAATCTAAATGCAATGCAATCACGATTAAAATGCCGACATTTAACTGACAGAGTCAGTTCTTTCAGGGAAAGTAAACATGGGGAGTGGACAGGTAAATCCTGAAAAGAGAACAGTTTGCAGATGTAAAACATAATTTAAGAGTTTGGTGTAGTGAAGCAAAAGATCAGTGAGACACCATGGAGGGTCCCGAAGTTGACTTAAAATACAAGAGTTAGGTTGTTGACTTAGGTTAGTGGAGGATGTCTGGGTTCTTTTTATTGGAACTGATTAGTCATCTTGACAAAAAATTAACCTGGGTCCTACTTCCCTGTGCAAAATTAATTCAAACTTTTTAGGCTTGAAATGAAGCTATAAAAGTACTTGAGATGGTTTAAAAGATCATCTTAGAGGAGAGCCATCTTTTTAAGCATGATACCCACAAATTATAAGTTGGACTTCAGTCGCACAGTGATGTCCGACTCTGCGACCCCATGAACCGCCAGGGCTCCCTGTCCATCACCAACTCTCAGGGTTTACCCAAACTCATGTCCATTGAGTCGGTGATGCCATCTAACCATCTCATCCTCTGTCATCCCTTTCTCCTCCTGCCTTCAATCTTTCCCAACATCAGGGTCTTTTCCAATGAGTCAGCTCTTCGCATCAGGTGGCCAAAATACTGGAGTTTCAGTTTTAGCATCAGTCCTTCCAATGAACACCCAGGACTGATTTCCCTTAGGACGGACTGGTTGGATCTCCTTGCTGTCCAAGGGACTCTCAGGAGTTTTCTCCAACACCACAGTTCAAAAGTATCAATTCTTTCTGCTCAGCCCTCTCTATAGTCCAACTCTCACATCCATACATGACCACTGGGAAAACCATAGCCTTGACTAGACGGACCTTTGTTGACAAAGTAATGTCTCTGCTTTATAATATGCTGTCTAGGTTGGTCATAACTTTCCTTCCAAGGAGTAAGAGTCTTTTAATTTCATGGCTGCAGTCACCATCTGAAGTGATTTTCAGATGGTGAAAAAATAAAGTCAGCCACTGTTTCCACCGTTTCCCCATCCATTTGCCATGAAGTGATGGGACCAGATGCCATGATCTTAGTTTTCTGAATGTTGAGCTTTAAGCCAACTTTTTCACTCTCCTCTTTCACTTTCATCAAGAGGCTCTTTAGTTCTTCACTTTCTGCCATAAGGGTGATGTCATCTGCATATCTGAGGTTATTGATATTTCTCCCAGCAATCTTGATTCCAGCTTGTGCTTTATCCATCCCAGCGTTTCTCATGATGTACTCTGCATATAAGTTAAATAAGCAGGGTGACAATATACAGCTTTGATGTACTCCTTTTCCTATTTGGAACCAGTCTGTTGTTTCATGTCCAGTTCTAACTGTTGCTTCCTGACCTGCATACAGTTTTGGACTAATGAAAAGTTAAAAATTACATGCAATAAGACATACCACAAAGTCAAGTTTTATAAGTGGCAAACTAGGGGAGATACTTGATTAATAGAAACGTTGGACATAAGAGGGCTATTTTCCTTAATATGCTAAGTTCTTATAAATTAATATGAAAAATGAGCAACCCAATAGATAAAGTAGCAAAGAATATAGCAGGAAACTCAGAGAAATACACATTGCGCAAACAAGAACAGATGTTTAATCACAGTTACATAGAAAATACAAATCAAAACTAGGGAGATACAATCTGCAATAAGTCTGGGGTTTTTTATTAATAAAAATATTTTTATTCTGAAGCATTTCATATGTTCAGATTACTATATGTGAATGGCCAGCATCTAAGTTTTGAAGCAGGCTTCCCAGGTGGCAAAACAGTGGTAAGGAATCCACCTGCCTTGAGTGCAGGAGACTCAAGAGGTGTAGGTTTGATCCCTGGGTTGGGAAGATCTCCTGGAGTAGGAAATGGCAACCTGTTCTGTATTCTTGCCTGGAAAATTGCAAGGACAGAGGAGCCTGGTGGGCTGCACATGATCATAGAGTCGGACATGACTGAGCGGCTGAGCACACAATTATGACGCTCAATGACCCCCACGGTCAACTCAAGAAGCAGAAGCCTGCCAGTATCACTGGATTCTTTGTATGTACTGCCCCCCTTGCTTCTGAGTAACAAACCACCCCAGGACTGAATTCTGCAGGATGGCTGAGAGCCACGCTGACTGATCTAAGTCCTTGTGGGCTACCTGCTCCCATTCTCTTTTCATTCAGCTGGAGACTAAGCTGGGCTGGACCATCAAGAATGACCCCTGCTCTCCAGGGTGTGGCTCTGAACAGCTGCTAGTCAATACCCTGGCTTCCTTTACAGCTTGGCAACTGAGCACCAAATGAGAGGAAGTGTAAGCTGCCAGTCCTTTTAAGCCTGGAATCCGAAGTTCCAGAGCATTACTTCAACCTTTTATTGATCAAAGCAAGTCACCAAACTAGCTCCTATTTGAGTGGAGGAGTAGTAGACCACCTCCAGATATGGGGCAAGACACACATGCTCAGGGGTGCCACAAATTGTTGGCTCTCATATTCCAAGGCTTTCATGTCATCCCAGCCTCTACTCTCCCCACCACCTCTATATCCTGTGAGAGATATTAAAATATTAATACATCTACTCTTAGTTTCAAGAACAATCACAAAAGCATATTAATTTTCCATCTCTTAGCCAATCTCCTTATATTAATTAACCAATCCAGGTTAACTCTGGTCCTGAATTTCTCCACTTTCCTTTATAAGTGTTTATAACCACATATCTGTGAAGCCCTTAATGTAATTTTGCTTTGATCTGACTATTGTAAAAGCAGTAATAAAGTGCTTGTATTGTTCTCTGATTTGTTTTCCTCCCTTCAGCCTTGTATATCTAAGATTCATCCATATTGACACCTATAATAGTGTTTAATTCATTTGTACTGCTGTGTATCAATCCATTATGTGAATGTGTAATGGCCTATTCTAACAATGACTATTTGGCTTCTTTCTGCTTTTTTTTTCCTTTTTTTTACTATCACAACAATACGTTAATGAATATTTCTTTAGTAAGGCTTCTGTCCACCTCTGCAGGGGTTTCCCTATTACGTATATGTAGAAGGCAATCCTTGGGTCATGCAGTACGCAAATG